CAAATAATAGTTAAACCGTTTTTTATGTGTTGGATCTATGTCGTTCTATATCTTTGGCTTTAAGCCTGACACACTGTTATGAGGCAAAGTATAGCAAACTTTGCAAGGCCCACATTTTGCTTTCGTTTTAAACCTTTACGCTAAGTCAGTATTTGACTGGACAAAAATAACCCCCGTTTTATGTTTTGTTTATCGAACTTTCACCTCTAACCTAATTTTGTGTTCTAAATTTAGCTCTCCTTGGCTTGTGATTATCTGATAAAAACATTTTTATAACCGAATCTATCGCTAGGCGCCGTACGTACGCGATGTTACCTACTCGGTGTACAGATACGGTTTAACCGGCAGATTCCGGTTATCACACGGCGGGTTTTATGGGAAGTCACAGAACTTATAATGGGAAACAGTTAAAACGTGGATGATAAATATCAAGGAACGAAATAAATCATAGTAAAAATAGATTAAGCGGTTTTAAAAAATATATATAAAAAATCACAACTTAATTTAATTTATAAACAAACAGATTCAATTTATGAAATGTCGGTTTATGCACGGCACGGTAAGATATTTTAAAAAATTCTCAGAGCGTAATGTGAAAAACATACGTAAATGACGATACATTTAATTTGATAAAATACGCTAAAACAAAATCTTTGGATATATTTTAACGTAGTTGGAGCTTAATGAGTCAGCTTAATGTTGCTCTTATCTAGTCGCCCCAGATTAGTCACAATTAATTGGGTTAAGTCCCGTAAGCTCCATCACGTTAACTCAGTCAGCTTAACACCATAGCTCTATTGCCATAGCTAAATCACTTTGTGCGTCACTATAGCAAAATTATATTGCCTCAATCAGATAAACTCAGTACCTTAGTTCAATCACTCTAGCTAGGTCAAATTAGCTCCATCAGCATATCGCAGTCTTCTTTGCTCAGCCAATTAAGCTTACCTGTGTTCATCCATGTTAGCTCAATTACTTTAACTCACTCACCTGCGTTCATACGATTTAGCTCCCTCGCCTTAACTCACTCACCTGTGTTCATCCATCGAAGCTCCATCACCTTAGCCCCACTATCTTAGCTCCATTACCTTAACTCACCTGTGTTCATCCACCTTAGCTCCATTACATTAACTCACCTGTGTTCATCCACCTTAGCTCTATCATCTTAACTCACCTGTGTTCATCCATCTTAGCTCCATCACCTCCACTTTAGCTCCGTAACCTGCGTTCATCCATCTTATTACGTTACCTACCAATACGATTTGACATACAAGAAGGAAAACATCGAATGTTTACTAACACGACAAAGACTATAACATTTTAATTCAACAAGAATAGTATGTTAAAAAAATGTTCTAAAAACATTGTAGCCGGCATGTTTATTCCATTTAAATTTAACATAATATGTTCTCATAAAATAGCTATTATGATGTATTTTTAAAAAGTCTTTACTTGTTGTTTATGAAGTTGTTTTAGTTCGCATAAAGCCAAAACTAAATGTAAAATAGTAAAGCTAACACTAAATTTCTATAACTCAGCACATTAGTTTATTGCAAGCTGCATAACTCATGAAAACCTAAAATTTTATATTTGAATCAAGAGTATTCTCCCTTTAAATGTTTTAATTTCAAAAATGGCACTGTGAGGGTATTTTGTCATATTTAAGTTTTCTTTTGTGGAGGTGAAGTAGCTTTGGTTAATTTAAAAATGTAATTAAATAAAAGAAACCAAATAACATTAGGCAGACTGCAAAATGTATTTTCTTCATTACGATTTGATTAAGACAATTTTATTTACAGTTATAAACAGGTACTTGTACGCCAATTACATTTGAGGTGAGTTTTACAAACAAAATTATCCTAGGCTAAACATTAAGTGAACATTTTCACCTTTTCATTGATGGTTTTATGTTTGCGTATTTGAAATTTGCTTTTGTTTGTATACATCACACGTGCAACCAGATATACAGACTCTACAACGGAGTAGTGTCGTCACCTAGGATAACACGAGCTAATTAAAACAGGAAGGAAAAGTTCGCGAAAGATTGATAACCCCATACAAGTGGGGAAAATAGCTCAGGACCGAATAGCCTGGAGAGCCTATATCGTCGTACTATGCCCAAGTAGAAAGTAAAGATTACTATTAATATGGGTAGGTTAATCGTTAAACATAGTTTACAAGCTTTAGAAAGACAGTTAAAATAATTAGTGCTGCTGATAACATCACAAGACATGTGCTGGTAATAACATCACTAGACAGGTGGTGGTAATAACATCACTAGACAGGTGGTGGTAATAACATCACTAGACAGGTGGTGGTAATAACATCACTAGACAGGTGCTGGTAATAACATCACTAGACAGGTGCTGGTAATAACATCACTAGACAGGTGCTGGTAATAAAATCACTAGACATGTGCTGGTAATAACATCACTAGACATGTGCTGGTAATAACATCACTAGACAGGTGGTGGTAATAACATCACTAGACAGGTGGTGGTAATAACATCACTAGACAGGTGGTGGTAATAACATCACTAGACAGGTGCTGGTAATAACATCACTAGACAGGTGCTGGTAATAACATCACTAGACAGGTGCTGGTAATAACATCACTAGACAGGTGCTGGTAATAATATCACAAGACAGGTGCTGGTAATAACATCACTAGACAGGTGCTGGTAATAACATCACTAGACAGGTGCTGGTAATAACATCACTAGACAGGTGCTGGTAATAACATCACTAGACAGGTGCTGGTAATAAAATCACTAGACAGGTGCTGGTAATAATATCACTAGACAGGTGGTGGTAATAACATCACTAGACAGGTGCTGGTAATAACATCACTAGACAGGTGCTGGTAATAACATCACTAGACAGGTGCTGGTAATAACATCACTAGACAGGTGCTGGTAATAACATCACTAGACAGGTGCTGGTAATAACATCACTAGACAGGTGGTGGTAATAACATCACTAGACAGGTGCTGGTAATAACATCACTAGACAGGTGCTGGTAATAACATCACTAGACAGGTGCTGGTAATAACATCACTAGACAGGTGCTGGTAATAACATCACTAGACAGGTGCTGGTAATAACATCACTAGACAGGTGCTGGTAATAACATCACTAGACAGGTGGTGGTAATAACATCACTAGACAGGTGGTGGTAATAACATCACTAGACAGGTGCTGGTAATAACATCACTAGACAGGTGCTGGTAATAACATCACTAGACAGGTGCTGGTAATAACATCACTAGACAGGTGCTGGTAATAACATCACTAGACAGGTGCTGGTAATAACATCACTAGACAGGTGCTGGTAATAACATCACTAGACAGGTGCTGGTAATAACATCACTAGACAGGTGCTGGTAATAACATCACTAGACAGGTGCTGGTAATAACATCACTAGACAGGTGCTGGTAATAACATCACTAGACAGGTGCTGGTAATAACATCACTAGACAGGTGCTGGTAATAACATCACTAGACAGGTGCTGGTAATAACATCACTAGACAGGTGCTGGTAATAACATCACTAGACAGGTGCTGGTAATAACATCACTAGACAGGTGCTGGTAATAACATCACTAGACAGGTGCTGGTAATAACATCACTAGACAGGTGCTGGTAATAACATCACTAAACAGGTGGTGGTAATAACATCACTAGACATGTGCTGGTAATAACATCACTAGACAGGTGCTGGTAATAACATCACTAGACAGGTGCTGGTAATAATATCACTAGACAGGTGGTGGTAATAACATCACTAGACATGTGCTGGTAATAACATCACTAGACAGGTGCTGGTAATAACATCACTAGACAGGTGGTGGTAATAACATCACTAGACAGGTGCTGGTAATAACATCACTAGACAGGTGGTGGTAATAACATCACTAGACAGGTGGTGGTAATAACATCACTAGACAGGTGCTGGTAATAATATCACTAGACAGGTGGTGGTAATAACATCACTAGACAAGTGCTGGTAATAACATCACTAGACAGGTGCTGGTAATAACATCACTAGACAGGTGGTGGTAATAACATCACTAGACAGGTGCTGGTAATAATATCACTAGACAGGTGGTGGTAATAACATCACTAGACAGGTGCTGGTAATAATATCACTAGACAGGTGGTGGTAATAACATCACTAGACAAGTGCTGGTAATAACATCACTAGACATGTGCTGGTAATAACATCACTAGACAGGTGCTGGTAATAACATCACTAGACAGGTGCTGGTAATAACATCACTAGACAGGTGGTGGTAATAACATCACTAGACATGTGCTGGTAATAACATCACTAGACAGGTGCTGGTAATAACATCACTAGACAGGTGGTGGTAATAACATCACTAGACAGGTGGTGGTAATAACATCACTAGACAGGTGGTGGTAATAACATCACTAGACAGGTGCTGGTAATAACATCACTAGACAGGTGCTGGTAATAACATCACTAGACATGTGCTGGTAATAAAATCACTAGACAGGTGCTGGTAATAACATCACTAGACAGGTGGTGGTAATAACATCACTAGACAGGTGCTGGTAATAACATCACTAGACAGGTGGTGGTAATAACATCACTAGACAGGTGCTGGTAATAACATCACAAGACATGTGCTGGTAATAACATCACTAGACAGGTGCTGGTAATAACATCACTAGACAGGTGCTGGTAATAACATCACTAGACAGGTGCTGGTAATAACATCACTAGACAGGTGCTGGTAATAACATCACAAGACATGTGCTGGTAATAACATCACTAGACAGGTGCTGGTAATAACATCACTAGACAGGTGCTGGTAATAACATCACTAGACAGGAGATGGAGTGGAACCCACAGGAAAGATGACGAGTCAAAAAGATCGCTTGAAAGTGAAAATAGGGGAGGCTTGATTTTCATGGCAAAACTAACAAAACAAAAGACCAAAAGAAAAAACAACCAGAGAACATTTTTATTGGCGAAGTGTCGTTTAGTTTTATGAATTCCATGGAACCGAAACAAATATTAGAAAAGTATCTTTAGAAATAGAAAAAAATCCGTTTAACTAACTAAACGTGCTGGATTATCTCCATTGACAATAGCCTTGATTGTGTCCCAATCGAAGAATGTATTACCGCCCTTTTCCAGGTTTACCAGTTTGTCTATCAGATACTTGAAGGTAAAGGCTGAGTTTTTATTTTTCAAGGTCACCAAGTGCTGAGTCATCTGCGCATGCGCGTTCTCCTTCAACCGGATGTAGCCCTGCTCGAGCTCGCCGCTGGTGAAGCCAAGATCCAGGTAGGCGTTCTGCCAGTTGAAGATGAAACACTGGGCCAGGTCGCTGAGTTCCTTGTCGGTGGGGATTTTAGCTCTTCTTTCATCTTTCACCGTATCGAACCATGAATCTATAAAGAAAAAAGTTGTGATTTGTTGAATGCTATAAGAATTTTTTTTAAAGATCACATAACTAATTAAGAAGTCCGTATAAAAGAGCACTAATTGGATTAGGGGTCATCCATAAATGACGTCACAGAGGGGTCCGTAATTTTGTGACGATGTGTGATGACGGGGAGGGGGGGGGGGGGTTCAGATGTTGCGACGTCACACTTTTGTATTATAAAAAAGCAATGTTGGAAAACGAATTTTAGACGTTATTTCGCGTTTTAGATAACTGTTTTAATGAATTGTAATAGTTTAGACAAGATTTTAGAAAAATATCGATGTTTAAAAAAAATTCAACTGCAATTTTGAGGGGGGTTGTTGGTTGAGGTGTGACGTCATTTTAGGGGGGGGGGGGGGTTCTGGCTTTTTGTGACGACGTGTGACCGAGGGCAGGGGGGAGGTAAAAATCGTCAAAAAAGCGTGGCGCCATTTATGGATGACCCCTTAGTCTCTTTGAAAGTCTTCAAAGCAAAGTCCGAACAAGAAAATTTGAGATGGTATGGACATGTCTCACAAACCAAAGGCTTTTCCAAAACAACAGTACAGGGCACTGGGTCAGGAGGGAGGAAATACGGAAGACAATGACGTCAATGTGTGGAGGATTGCTTGATACAGGAGCTCTACAAGAATATCAAAGTATGAATGCTTATAGAGTCCTTGCATACGACGTCACGGATCGTTCAGTATGTAAATATCCGCCATCGCGGTGTACAGATTCGCATTCAAAATGGCGATCTGTGCTGTGGAAGGTTTTGATACTCGAAGTGGCAGATCTAAAGGGATTCCTTTATTTCGACTGCCAAGGGTTATATTAAACCAAGATGATGGAGATCGGTAATCAACAGAACGTAGACGCTGTCAATTTTTAGCCAATAGAAGTAAATAGAAGTAAACTAAAACTTACAATATTTACTGGGATATTCCGATGCAGGTATCTCTTCGTTAAATATCTCAGCTAAACCTTGATATTTAATATTTACTACTTTTACGAAGGCAGGGTATGCACCGTAAGGACCCGAGTGAAAAAGTTTGCCCAGGAACAACTCTGCTCGTGCCAAGCGAGTTTTTTCCCTGTCAATTTCCTCCTTATCTTCGTAAGTGAAAACACCTTGACTGTAAAACTCATCTGTAAATTCTTTCCCATCAATATTGTTTTTAATTTCCACGTAATGAACGCGGATCTTGTTTTCGTCGTCTTTTTTCAGCCGTCCGTGTTGTTCAGGCATTTTCTGCTGTATATAAACATACAGTAAAAGCTATTATAAAAAAAACATGTACCCAGAATTATTGTTAACCTAAACATCATTTTAAATTATCGCGATTGGAAAAATGTTAAAGGACCGCAATATTTTATACATAACTTAAAAGCCTCACCCCACCACATTCTAGACCTTTATTCAAGCCAGGTCATAATGTGTCACAACTTTAAATAATTTAGATTGTATTTAATGTTGAAACCCTAGTTACCGACATCATTGGGGGGGGGGGTGAAGGAATCTGTTGTTTTTATTTATAACAAAGACTAGCACAGTCTTCATTATGTTTCAAAATATGATTTATCTGATTTTAGTTTATCCAATTATTCTAGAAGTAGATATTCATTCATTCAGCAGACATAACATGAAGAAAATTAACGGCATATTATAGGCCGACAACATTGCTCGGACAGCTTATGTTGAAAACAAAATTATAAACCTATCAATATATTTTTTTTGCACGAAATCGAATAAAAATCAATAGTTATTAAAAGCACGTATGCGTCAATTTGTTTCATTTCTATACCGTACACTACACATAGAAAAATGATTCTGATATACAAATTATATTTCAACCGTTAGATCTATATTTCATATACAAGAAAAAAATCAGCCTACTAGACATAACACTTAATGTTACACAGTTATACAATAAAATCTGTGAATGTACACATTGTATACACAAACCGTCTCACACAAGTGTGTACACCTCCTAGA